TTGCTCACTATTATTTTTTATTAGACTTACAAACTTAGTTTCAGTAATGTCATATTGTTCTTTAATTTAGCCGGAATAGCAAGCTGCTTTCGATCATCTGTACAAGTGCCATTTAATTTGTGTATTACACAAATCTTTCCACGAAACAGACAGTTTTAAGTGCAAAAGGTGCGAAAGTGCAGAATCACTCCAGCATCCCCTTAAATCGCACGCCTTTTTGGACAGTTCTCGCCGTATCTCGAGCTTAGAGCGCGCGCGTCGAGCGTTCGACGGTGATACAGTGCGTGTGTTTCGCGCGTTCGGAGTGTGGTTAGGTTGTAATTTCTTTGGTGAGACTAATCTACGCGCGGATGTTGGATCGTACGCCTCTTTAGACAGCACCGCCGTGTCTCGAACTTGGTGCACGCGCGTCGAGCGGCGTTTTCGCGAGCGAGTGGTGAGTGAGTGCCCGTGAAGAGACAACGAGCGTGATCCGAGAGGAGGCGGCGGAGCAACCGCGGGGTAAGTTTGTCGTTTATTCCATTCACTGCCGCTCGTGGAATTAATCGCTGATGTGATTACGTTACGCGCGGGACAATTGCTGTTTTCTTAAATATTAATTATCTTGAGAGCCGTTGTGATCGGGGTCGGTGCCAATTTACAGTTGGTGCCAACCGGATACGCAACTCCGCTGCTGCGCCTCGTAACTGTGAGTTTGACAAATTCTGTTTCAACTCGAGAAGTAATAAATCTGCGATGTTACCTGTTCATAAGACGAGTAGAAATGTACGTGCGTAAAATATTGTGTAAGACGAAGTGGAAGATCTCATAGACTTTATTGTTCTCCAACAGGGAGGTTTTATGATAGATTAGAACACGTGTACATTTAAGATATGTGTAGTCGAATGAAAAGAATTACCAAGGGGGAAACCGCTGCAGAGGGCATTGCGGCGTACAGATTTGCGGCATTACTGGGCATTACTGCACTGAGAAAAATCTCCATCGGATAAACCAGTTAAATAGTGTTTCTGATGGTTAATTTTTCCGATTACGTTTTCCGATTAAATTATCGATACATCTGATAAAATTTATCCGATGAAATGCAGTTACCGATAAAATTTGATTGAAAAACCGATCACATTTTTCATCGGATATACAATTTAATCGGATATATCCGTTTGTTATCATGTAATTGGATCCAATTATATTTAATCTGACATTTTTCTCAGTGTAGGCGTTGGTGTACAAGTTTTGGTCAGCGGTTTCCCCCTCGAGAATTACTTAAGAGCGATAAGTAATGAATATGAAACACCATGCAGAGACGTGACATTTCATTTGGATATCGAACACATTGACGATTTAAACTTTGACTATATCAAACACATCGAGGCCCGGTTTTCCATTTTCTGGTTGACTGTTAACCAGAAGTTAGTCGACTCTCCATCTGTTTCTATGTTATTATCTAAGAAGAGACAGAGAATCGACTGACCACAGGTTAACAATTAACCAGAAAATGAAAAGCCGGGTCTAACTATATTAAACTTAGGATATTATGAGTTCGTATAGATAAATAGTAAGTAATAAAAGTAAAGACATTTAAGTAAAATAAAGCTAAAGCGGAGATTATAGTTTTCTTCGTGGTACGAAGGAAACATTATTGCTCTATTTAAACACGTTACGTTATTTCCTTTTCCTCTTCCTGTTTAAACTTTTTTTAAATTTAAGCTTTGCATTTAGTCTTTTTATACCCAGGATTAAATATCTTACGAAGAGTGATAGAAATGTTTGATTTTTTAAATACGTGTGTGATAGTCAAGCATAAATCGAGCAGAAGATAAGTTTATAATCGCATAGAATCTCTTATCTGATTTACTTAATAAACATTGCTTTAGTAATTTTTATTGTTCGCATAATTTGCGCTATATATTCTAATCTGTCCACGTTATTCATGAAGAATTTAATTATACATTCTTTGAAACAAACTCACGTAAGGACCGATAAATATTTTATCGTGGTGTAGAGAGAATTTTTATACAAGTTATCTTTACAATATCTGAACACAAAGAGCACAAGAAATATAACTCGAGTTGTAGAGATTAACGCCGGATATGCGTTTAGATTCGAATAACGATTCCTCGTGATATCTAGGCTAACTTTAAATGTTTCTGTCTCTGTGACGAATTGACATTATTTTCCAATTTTCGTTTGTAATTATAATAATTTCCGGAGTACGCCTTTTAAATATTATCCGACAGTAGGGTGGGTGCTTTGTATCAACTTCGTTGATAGACTCGCGCAATTTCTTTGAAAGTTTAATTTGCACTTTACGGAGCTGCACAATTTTGTCACTTTTTGTACACCGAGATATTTATTCGTTAAAAATTTTACACGACAAGAATCTCATTGCCGAAACCACGGCGACGATATTATGTATTTCCGAGGGGGAATTCGCTGAGGGCATCGTGGTGTCCAGATTTGCGGCATTACTGGGCATTACTAGGCATTTTTTGGGCATTATAAAGATATAGTAAGATAAAACAAGATAAATAAGATAAAGTAATGCCCACTGGGCATTAGTGGGCATTGGTGTACAAGATTGTGGCCCGCAAGTTTCCCCCGCATGTATTTCTTAACTCGGATTGAAATTTTTTTTGCGAACTCGTGTCGAAACGAGTTTGTCAAAATCGTCTATCTCTGAGACCAATTGCCACCTACCTGGGCATTCTCGAATTTTCGTTTGCAATAATAATAATTTCCGGAGTACGCTTTGCCAAAATTATCCGGCAGTAGGGTGGGATATTTCGTATCAACTTCGTCGATAGACTTTTCTTTGAAAGTTTAATTTGTACTTTACGGAGCTGCACAATTTTGTCACTTTTTGTACACCGAAATATTTATTTATTTAAAATTTTACGCGACAAGAATCTCGTTGCCGAAACCACGGCGACGATATTGTGTATTTCCGAGGGGGAATCCGCTGAGGGCATTGTGGTGTACAGATTTGCGACATTACTGGGCATTACTAGGCATTTTTTGGGCATTATAAAGATATAGTAAGATAAAACAAGATAAATAAGATAAAGTAATGCCCACTGGGCATTAGTGTACAAGATTGTGGCCCGCAAGTTTCCCCCTCGTGTATTTCTTAACTCCGATTGAAATTTTTTTTTGCGAACTCGTGTCGAAACGAGTTTGTCAAAATCGTCTATCTCTGAGACAATTGCCACCTACCTGGGCATTCTCGAATTTTCGTTTGCAACTATAATAATTTCCGGAGTACGTTTTGCCAAAATTATCCGGCAGTAGGGTGGGATATTTTGTATCAACTTCGTCGATAGACTTTTCTTTGAAAGTTTAATTTGTACTTTACGGAGCTGCACAATTTTGTCACTTTTTGTACACCGAAATATTTATTTATTTAAAATTTTACGCGACAAGAATCTCGTTGCCGAAACCACGGCGACGATATTGTGTATTTCCGAGGGGGAATCCGCTGAGGGCATTGTGGTGTACAGATTTGCGGCATTACTGGGCATTACTAGGAATTTTTTGGGCATTATAAAGATATAGTAAGATAAAACAAGATAAATAAGATAAACTAAGATAATAAGATAAAGTAATGCCCACTGGGCATTAGTGGGCATTGGTGTACAAGATTTTGGTCAGCCAGTTTCCCCCTCGTGTATTTCTTAACTCGGATTGAAATTTTTTTTTTGCGAACTCGTGTCGAAACGAGTTTGTTAAAATCGTCTATCTCTGATGAGACCAATTGCCACCTACCTGGGCATTCTCGAATTTTCGTTTGCAATTATAATTTCCGGAGTACGCTTTGCCAAAATTATCCGACAGTAGGGTGGGATATTACGTCTCGACTTTGTCGATAGACTTTTCTTTGAAAGTTTAATTTGCACTTTACGAAGCTGCACAATTTGGCCACTTTTTGTGCACCGAAATGTTGTTTACTCGTTAAAAATTTCACGCGACATTGCCGAAACCACGGCGACGATACTGTGTATTTCCAATCTCAGATTAAAATTTACTTGCGAACTCGTGTCGGGGCGAGTTTCTCAAGATTAATTTCATTTGATCGAACAGTGATTATCGATCGTGGCCTCTCGCGGAGGTCTGATTTTGGAACTCGTGTTTATAATGCAGCGTCTTTTTACCTGCCCGCCCAAGTAGCATCCGCTTGTTGAATAGAATTTTCGATGGACGCCACGCGAGGCATTCATAAAACACGAGCGCCCTGAAGAGTGCGACGCTCGCTCCGTCAACGGCAACGAATATTAACGATAAGTCTTAAGCACCGGGATAAAACCGTGCCGGCCGCCTCGAGCCGGCGGATCGATATACGCAGCGATGTTCCTCCTGTTTGCGGTGCATATAAATTCTGTTTTAATGCGATATCAGGTTTTCCATCGGCCGAAGCTCGGTGGAGCCGCGGAAGGAGCGTCGTTCTCCGCTTGAACGCGGATCGCGATTGGCATAGATCGTCTAACCGCCCGCCGCACAGAATAGCCGTATCTCTAAGCAGGTTCATTTGGGAATGCGAATTTCAATTTGGCCAGGCCGCGCGATCATACGAACCCAATCAGCGATAGATCGAACTCGGGTATGTACGTAGCTGCCTAGCAGTCCTCGGGTAGACTCGAGGAACGTTTTCCTGCCCTGCCTTGCTCCGCACGGGTCGATCCATGCTGGGTCGCTCAGGTAGGGCCCGCGTTCTCGGCGTTGCCACGTATACCAAACATCCACGGTGGGACTCAAAGCGTTCTGCCTTCGGTTCTATTTGTGCACCGGACAGGTACGTCCAAAGATACAACGCCTACGAGTGCGAGCAGCCATTGTGCGCCGGTACGTATGTAATACCGTAGAATCGCCTTGTGGCAAACCTCTCTCTCTCTCTCTCTTCTCTCCCTCCCTCCCTTTTTCGCCTTCTCTTCCCAGCTCCCTCCCCCGTTGCCGTTCTCTTTCTCTCATTCTCGTTCTCCAGGAAGACGGGCAAGCTGATCCATCTGTACGAACTGCTGCGCCGCATTGTTCTCAAATGGTACAGCTGGCTCTCTCCTCTCGTACTCTCGCCGCACGTCGATGCCGGCGCGCGCGTTCGCGTACCGCTTTGTGCTCGCCCGACGTGCTCGCACCTCGCTCACGACGATGACGCGACAACGTACGGCGTCGCGCGTACGAACGGTATAATTATTTCAGACGGTGATTAACGCCGCGCGCGCGAAATCGACGTCCGAGTGCGCCTTCCCTCCCGTGGACAGGAAACGGAGGGGAAAAAATGCGCATACCTGGGCACGCCGGACCCGGGGCCGTCGCAAATTAGATTCGGCACGGTTCCCTGTCCCCTAATCTGTTATGTCCACTGTCTCGAAAAGCTTTCGGCAAAATGGAATTAAATGACAATGTAGCACCGGTCCGGGCAACTGCACGCTCGGGCGTTCCGAAGCTAAATCTGACATAGTTGGAAATAATTGGTGGCACTCAATTTTATTGGAGAGCGAATTGTACGGACG